TCCGAGCATTCCTCGCTTTCGTTGTTAGTAGACCGGTTACGCATTCTTCGCGCCGTACTCCAAAGCGTATTCATAGACGTTTCGCGCGACAATCCGTCTACAAACTGCCGCCAGTAGCCCCGTTTTTTGGCCTTGATGAGGCTCTTGAGTTCGCGTTCAAGAGATGTGTATGCGTCGAAATGCTCGCGTGTTCCGCGTTTCCGAAAAAGTTTAAACGCGTCGGACTTTTTACGGTAAACCTCCGTGCATTGTTGATCCCACCAGAGCGATGGTGTTTTCTTACGGATTGACGATCGCGGCACCGGTTGTGTTTGAGCTTGAAGTGCGCTGTCGACGATGAGATTAGAGAGGAAATTATACTCCTCCAACGGCGGAAGCTCTTCCACTGACGATACTGTATCGTCTAGCGCGGATTGGAACTTAGTCCAATCGATGTTACGGGTTAGATCATACGCGACGTTAACGGATTCTGACGAGTTGAACCCACTGGCAATCGAAATTTTGATCGGCAAATGATCACTACCGTGCGGATCCTGGATTACATGCCAAGTGCAATCCAACGATAGTGAATTGGAGCAAAAGGTGAGGTCTAATCTGCTACCATTCGAGGATGGACCAGCCAAACGTGTTACTTCTCCATTGTTAAGGATTGTCATGTTGAAGTTGTCGCAGAGATCATAAATCAAAGTAGAACGGTTATCATCGTACAGCTCCCCCCAGCCTGTACCGTGGGAGTTAAAATCTCCCATGATCAACCATGGAGCGGGAAGTACCGCACATATGTCGAAAAGTTGTTTGCGATTAACAGAGACTCTAGGAGCAATATATACAGAAGCAATACAAAGGCTCTTACCTTTAATGGTAGCTTGACATGCGACAACTTCAATACCGGGGAATTCGGAAAGATTCACTCTATAGAAGGAATGGCACTTTTTGATCCCCAAAAGTACCCCTCCTCCACGTAAATCCTCACGATCCAATCGAATAATGTTAAAATCATAAAAAGGGAGATCAATTTCTGAAGAGAGCCATGTTTCACAGAGGGCAAATGCATCGCAATTATTGTTATGGACTAAATACTTGAACGAATCTAATTTCGGAATAAGACTTCGACAATTCCACTGTAGAACAGTGATCAAATCCCCGACCTCGTTTGGAAAATTATCCATCAAAGGAGATGATAGCTGCAAGAAGGGGCCATTTTGAAGTCAATTGCTTCAAGAAGGATTTCACAGTTGGAAGCAATGTGAGGACAATGATTTTCAGAGGATCAGAAATGTTGAGGTATTTGAGAATACCGTCCACAATGTCATCAAATGAGAACAACCCAGATGAAGAAGGGGTTTCTGTTCTTAAAATTGGGGCATCAGGGGTTTTGGATGTCCCCGGAAGAGGTGGAAAATCCTGGGTATAGTCAGTTCTGCGGAATCCAGGAGGAGTAGAAGTCTCCCTTTTTCCACCACTCCTTGATTTGGGCAAGCTGATTTGGGGTTCTTTATTTGCAACAATCCGCGAACGGATGCGCTTTCGTTTCCGCGCAGAACCTTCCAGAAAACTGAAAGAAGTTCCCTCCTCAGCCAAGTCAGAGTCAGTCTCGTCATCTAACAAAAGATAAAAGGGATTTTTGTCATTGGTCGATGGCGTGGCTGTCTTAAGCATTTCTGCAAAAGACCGCCTAGAACGTTCCTTAAGGGAGCTTTTCATTTTGTCCCCGAGCTGTTTGTACGCCGGGCACGACGAGAGAGCATGAGGAGGAGTTACGTTGCAGTACACGCATTTTGGTGCAGTAGCTGCGCAGGCGCCATCCTCATGCTTCTCCCTGCATGTGGAGCAGCGTGCCTTGTTGCCGCAGTGGGAGGCCGTATGTCCCAACCGCTTACAATTCTGGCAGTTCATGACCCGAGGTACAAACAACCGCACAGGAAGACGAAGTTTTCCCAGCTCGATGTATTGAGGAAGGGCAGATCCAGAAAAGGTCACCCGAAACGAGTCTGTGGGGGTAAAACTCTTTTTACCCTCGCTGAGCGATACTGACTTCATTCTATGAACGGCCAGTATCTTTACCGGAGGAAGCAAGGGGTTCTTAAATCGGCCAACCGCTTGCTTCTCCAGTATCTCGGGGTTCAGGCTCGCCTCAGTGACCACGCCTTCGATCTCCACATCAGAGGCTGGAATGTACACCCTATATTCCAGTGTGAAAAATTGGGAAACAGCAATTTCATTCGCCTGTTTCAGGTTAGCGACGGTCACACGAAGTTTGTTGTGCCTAACCTTCGTTATTTCGGTCACGGCAGAGAATCGCTTTGTCAGATCATCAGATATCTGAACAACATTCAAGGGTTTGTTTTTGGGCTGAAAATAGACAACCCATGGGCCAGTCGAGTCATTCGGGTAGGCCCGCAATCTGGTGCTTTTCTCAGCCTGCCCATCGACAGACTGAGACGACGAACCAGGGATGACATCATCATTCTTCTGAGATGAATGGTCATCCATGTCGTCTTCTGACAAAACATCCATTTTGTTCAACTAGTGGGAGCGCAAAACGCTCTCCCACTGAACGCACAGACACAATACACAGAAAACACTACAAACACAGAAATACAAAATGAAAATTTAACTAATGGGGGAGGAAAAGAAACAAAAAAAAAACAAAAACTTATCTGATAATTCTATACTTCTACCACCGAGCGTTATATGTGTAGGCGTTTACACAGATGGCTGGAAGAGACGCGCTGCGTGGATGACCTTCGTTGTGGTGCACTTGATCGAGGCTCGGTACTCAGCGCACACAGGCGCACGATGATTGATGAACGATGTAGATGTAGAAACGGGTGCTCACACTCGATGATGATGATACGTGAGCGCGTATGCGTGACCACGCAACGATGATGCCCAAATTTGTTTGCGAATTTCCAATAGCACGGATTAATCGTTCCGAAAATGACACTTTCTACTAAAAAAACTCACTTTTCGATCAATTTACCGGGAACTATGCCAGGAGTCACTTAGTGAGAAAAAAACTGATAATTTATATCAAGCGAATACCGAGAAAACTTCCAAAACAACGGAGCGCGAAACAAGTCGACCGTACTTCTTGCTAGGACGCAGTGAGATCACAATTTCACTCTTAATTAATTGAATATTTATCACAGCATTGCGAAATAAACTATAACGTTCGCCATTACCAATACTGCAACGCTGCTTTCCCGATTGTCTTTTGTACGTTCGCACCATCACTGCCACCAAAACACTGCGTAGGTAAACAATGTAAACAAGTCAACAAAGTGGGCGTTGAGGTTAGATTCCAGAAACAAGTGGTGTTCATTTTGCCCCTACTAGAGGTGTTCGTTTCACCCCTAATCGACTATATTAATTTGAATGCATTTTTTTTTTAAATAAATCAGGCATAACATTTGATAACGGCACAAAAGCATTTGCAAACAAACTTTCTAAGGCCCTTTACACGCGATCCAAAGTACGCCCACGCAAACCAACAACATCATCGGATAGGGGCAACTATCACCTTTCCGAAAGTGGTATTGGTTTGCGTGGGCGTACTTTGGTTCACGTGTAAAGGGCCTTAGAAAGTTTGTTTACAAATGCTTTTGTGCCGTTATCAAATGTTATGCCTGAAATTATTGCAAAAAACAATATTTTGATTAATGTCAACTTTCAGCAGCGATACAAAGAACGTGTTTGGGACAAATAGGTAATTGATAATAAATATTCTGAAACGTTCATAAAACCTTATTTTTCTCTGGTTAGAAATTATAATATTTCAAACCCTTGGGTTATGATTTCTAATTTTTCATATATTTCGGTGGTTAAAAGAGGATATCAACTGTTCTATTGAAAAATTATATGTTTGATAGTGGTAAAAATGATTAACAACTTACATTTCCGTTTAAATTTAAAAGATTTTGTTATTTTGAGGGTGTCCATTTCGCCCCGTGTGTTCATTATGCCCCTAATCCCCCTATCAATGAAACAGTCATCGGTCGTCAATGAAAAGCAATGCAACTTTGTTCTGTCAATCTAATTGAAACATTTATTGGCTCTGTTGTCTTGTGAATTTTAGCTATAACGGCCTCTTTTCTGATTTTTATCTCTCAATCTATGGACTACACATTTTTATATCATATGGGTGGAAAGTTCGTAGAAAAAATACTTTAAAATTCTCCACTTTTTAAGATATCTTCGAGCATGAAACTAAGTCAGACTTCAATAAAACAGTAATCACGGTTGACCTGGTGCATCCCGAACATTTCTGTTAAAATGAACAGGTCTAGGTTGTATCCAAGACAAGACCGTAGATTTGACGTAGGACTACGTACTCGGTATCAATATTCGGTGACTGTGTTAGGGAAACCACTTTTTTGCAGGCAATCGGTGATACTTTTGATCACCATTGCAACAGTCGGAAATTTGTGTAATTTTCAATAGGGACCTATTATAAATTGATAAAATTTTCATTTTTGCAGATTCGTAGAAAAATTGGCAATCGGTTGGCTGATTTTGAATTAAAATCCATCCGCTATTGACAGAGCTATAAGTGGTCAAAACCTGACCACTTTTCGTAATTCTTCGTCAAAAATCATAGTCCCTTTGGAAAACTCGCGATACCTTACCAAATTTGAGATATGTTTGTCCAGGATTGTCTTGGAAAAAATTCCCGAATTTGAGAAAAGTAAAGATTGGATTCACTAAGTCTATTGGTACTACTTCACAGGAAATTGTGAGGCAAATTTACTCATCGCTGAGTTCCTGCACTTTCTGCGATTACGAGTAAACTAAACTCAAATTTGGGTCGTTCTCATGGGCCGTGTAAAGTACTTACATTAGTTAACAAAATGCCGACTCCATTTTCTTTTAAAAGAAAGAACGATCGACGAAGGAATAGGAATAACAGGGAATTCTATTTTCAAATTCCGAAAAACTTTGTGGGAACGAAAGGGTTCATCAACTCAAGTGCACCGATCAACGTCTCTCTCTCATTTCAGGGCAAAGAGAACCTCGTCCTCCCGCTGGTCATCATGGGCTGCATTTCGGTGGCGGGTGGCTTCACCGGCCTACGGCTTCCGGAAACCCTGCACCACCGGTTGCCTCAAACGCTGGAAGAAGGTGAACTGTTCGGTCAGGACTGGACCTTCGACGACTGTTTCCGGTGTGGTCCGTCGAAAAAGTCACCCACCGGATCGTACGAAAACCTTTCGCACGATCCTTCCGATGCGGCGCTGGAGCTAAATGCGGCTGTACCGCTCAACGGTGGTGGGGCAAGAGGTGGTGGAGGTGCGGCGGGTGGCAGCGGCGGCTATGATTCGGGCCCGGCAACCGAGAAGACCCCACTGGAGCTGGCCCGATTACGGCGGCAGTCGATGAAACGGCTCGTTCGACAGGCGAGCACGATGGACACGCAGAAGACGGCGGCCGGCGCCATGCAACTGACGTATTGGTTCTGAGTCAGGGAGATTGTCAGTATTGTTCGCGAAATGAAAACAAGGTTTTTATTTTTTGAACATATTTTAACAATAAAGAAATACGTATATGTATATTTTCGGTTTTTCTCTGATTTGTTTCTTCTTTCTATAATGATAATGTGCATTGACAACATTTACTTGATTAAAATTAAAATTTCTTGTTTGTTTTGTTTTTTTTTAAGTGTAAACATATTTTAGTTACGGTTGTGATTTCTTTATTTTTACGGAGAGATTTGTTTTAAGTACTTTTTAATTCACGCTGGAGTTATTTTTTTCTTCTGCTTGTTTAAAACATATTTGTTGTTTTCGTTAGTTTGCAATAGTCGTCTGGAGTTTTCGCTTAGATATAGATCTCTGGTTGATTACATATAATAACAGATTGTATTTCTTCTTTTCCTTCGGCTCTAGAATTTTACCATGTTTCATTGTTGCGGGTGGTAAAACTATAAAACTTAAACTACTACCATTTTTGTTCTATATCGCAAGAAGCATTCATTGATGTATAGGCAATTCTAAGGATATGTTTCTTGGGGAATTCCATTCACCTACAATTTGCTACACGCTTAGGAAAAGAGTTTCTCGATTGTACAGTGTGTGACGGTTGCTGTTTGGAAATCAATGCGGTCGGAAACTGAAAACTTGTGTTTCCTTCTTTCATTTATCATCTTGCATCTACTACTTTGTACTAAGGAATCAAATTACTCTAGCTAATAAGTTACCGTTTACTTGGTTGTGTGTTTGAGTGTAAAAACGAATGGGAAAATATCATTCGTAACTGTGTATGTCGTTTTGGAGTAGAAAATGTTGATTTATGTGGCTTAAAGTCCGAAGAGGAAATCATAAATGGGTTCGCTTTGAAGCTAGTTCTTTCGGTAAGAAGTCTTTTCCTAGAGATATTTTGCATCTCGGGACGGCGATCGGTTGTCTGTGTGTTTCGTGTTAGCCAATCATTTTTTTAAAATTTAAGGTTAGGTAGCTGACGTAAAGTGTTGTTAGAAAGATGTCTTTTTGTTGTAGAACTACATTGACAAGAGATGGCTTGGATCTTGTCTGTTGAATTTCTGTTTTGTTTGTTTAGTTTCGAATCGAATTGGCCGTTCTGTGATACACAAAAAAAAACGATGTAAGTTGATAGGTTATAGCTGGACTTAGGCTTAGGTAGAAAGCCAAATCGTTTCCTAGAGTCATCAGTGTATAGTTTATAGTCTTTAGTTAAAAATTTCATTATTGTAAATATCCGATTGTAAATTTGTTGAAATAAACTATGATTACAAGTTCAGATGGATTGATTTTTTTTGTATACTAATATGATCACATTCCAAAATAAGGTTTCGTGCTATGTCGTATTCAAAGTTCCGAACAAGGTTTGAACTAAATTTTTTATTATTATATCACAAATTTATCCTATAATAAAGAAGGAAACTTTTCATCACTACGAAATTTCGTTGTCCGAAGACAAAATTAATCTTGTTTGCATTAAAAAACCTAAAAATTCGACATTCTTATCGCGATAAACCTTTTTTCCAAAAGAATACACCGGTTGCTGCAACCGGAAAGAGAGTCATACTCCTCTACAGCTCTGTGACATGGTATATAATTTCGCTGATGTTTTTTTTGTAATGAGATGTTCTGTATTTGTTTTAGCTAAAAAGGCATACCGTTCCTTAAAAACTTCCTGCTCTTTTCCAGTGTCTTTTGGTTCTCTCTCTACAAAAGCCACCTCGAATTTTGTGAGTATATCGTTTTATGTCTGTTCCATGGATTCGAATGGCACTTTCAGGTTTGTTTGTGTCTCGGTGTGTGAATGTGTGTGTGTGTGTAAGTACGTTTTCATCTGTCAAAATGGGGACACACACAAGTAGGCGGAAGGTTCTAGTTGTTAAAAATGCTATCATCATATTCCCACCGCAGTGGGCTTGTTGTTGGTCCGGATATTGGTTTCGTCAGGCGCATTCGAAGGACAGGGCATGCTCCGATCGTAGTAGGCGATCGGGGGTCCGTTGCTATTAACATTGTTTGGTTTATGTAGGCACAAGTGACGTTTCTGGTTTGTTTTCGTTTATATAGGTATCGTACAACAATGGATCGATGCGGCCTTTGTTTTGTTTTTGTTCTATGCGGAGATTATAGTTTACAGTGAATAGTGGTGCCATCTACCTTAGTTTGATTGAAATGGCAGTTCCAGTATGTGTAACTTTTCGATTTTGTTGGTTTACATTTTCAATGTTTGTCCTTTTTTTATCGTCATTTGCTCTTGTATACATCTATGCTAGAAGGTAAGAGTACGGCTACAGTTTATTAAAATCAAACAAAACAAAAACGTAATATATAATATCGTTTAACAAAATAAGATCAATGGCAAGTTCTGGTAACGTAAAATTGTAATGCTTAGAGTAGTATTAAAAGAAGAAAAACTTAGGCGCTAACTGGCAAGTAGAAAATTTGTGCTCACTGGTTTTGAGTATTCATCTTGTCAGAGTTACTGGAAATTCACTTCGTATTCGAATGGGGAAAGGAAGCTCGAAACAATGATCGAATCAAAAGGGGTGCCATTCGTCAAAACCAAACAAATACATCCGTGAAATGAATCTAGATAACATAAAGGACTAGCATAAAAATATCGCAATGTTCTTCTTTTTCTATATAGTTATTTCAAAGGATCCACATGTACAATCAATGTGCTTCTATTTAGATTAAAACTTTGCACGGTTCTTATATCTGTATCAAGGAAACTAAATACGAGTTTTGAACGTCCATTGAACTTAGCCTAGGATTTTTCACATCATCTTATAGGGTTGAAAAGTGTTTTTTCTGTCAATCTGTCGCTTTCTCTGCATTGTTTACCAAAGAAACGTATTATATTTTTTCCCTTTTTTGTATTTATTTAAAAATTTGTACTACCAGTTCTCAATCCTCTCATTTTTTTTGTTACAATTCGTTGCCTCATACTTTACTTTTTCTACGTTAATTAAGCACTTGCGTTTCTTCATCATGCTTTTCATCTATGTATCAAATAAGTAAAAATCAGTATGAAAGATGTTTTTGCAATTTAAAACCTAAGACTCGCGTCACTTTACACATTCGTTTTCCCATTTTCGGTCATAAATACAGATTACTTACATAAGATCTCTTGGTTTCCTCCCCATTAAATGCTAATGCTACTATTTACATCGTAAGTTTAACCTTAAACATATCGATTTAATTAATGCTGACTTATCCTCTAGTAGTGTGTGCTAATGGGGATCATCATCAGAGATTCTGGACGATGGACGATGCGATGCGTGAGAAAACCGAAAAGCATAGGAAAACTGAAACGAGTGGTTTGGTTGATAATGCATGGGAAGTATTTTTTCTTTTTTTTTATCCTAGGGGACACGACGACGACGAATGTTTGCCTTAACCTTAAGTGCGGTCTAATCCTGTTATGAATGTCCCCTTTGCGATTAGTCGATCGTGGTGAGAGCTGCTTATCGCTTGGACATTGATTTGCGACGACGGTTACCATGGTAATGCGATGCGTTGTTTGTTTTGTCAGTGCTCTTGTTGGGTAATTTGAAACTCACTCACGATCAAGTCTCGCGTAACACGAAAAAAAAGCCTATCATTGTTGATCGATTATCTTCGTCGATTTTGTGTATCGCGAATAACGGAACGGCAAATGAAGCTGAAAATTGCATCAGGTCCTAAGTAACATTGGCAGATTCTCTTCATCGACTTTCTCTTTGCATCCCCACGGCCATGTAAAGATATTCCCAGGTATTTTCAGCACACGGATCGGCAAAAGAAGCTTTTAACCAGCATCTAAAACGACAAACACAACAAGAAACGGTCATGTGCTCAAGTTATTAACGAAAGAGAAAGTCGACGAAGAGAATGGATCAATGTTACTTAGAACCTAATGCAATGTTCAGCTTTAAATGCAGTTTCCATCGAGTGTGTTGTTTCAAGCACACGCTATTTAAAAACTTTGATAAATTAATAATTATTTACTGATCATGATTAGTAAACATTAGCCGCAGCTTGTGTCACTTTTTCTTAAATTCGTTTATGTTGCCGTGGTCGATGAAGAGAATTGATCAACGAGGATAGGCCCTTTTCACATGTAACGAGAGAAGTCGTAAATTAATAGTTTTATTTTAATTGTAGTCACTTTAACCAACAATCAATACGAAACTAACGATTTTAAATTGGTTCATTACTTGACTAGACCATTGAACAGTGGTCCAGAAGGACGAATTTTATGGAAAAAATGTAAAGTGCATGAAGATAAGTTTTATCAATTTGCTGTCTTCATAGAAGCTTTTAGTTGAAAAAAGATGCATCTGATGAAGGGGTGGTCCATAAATTATCCTGATTGAGACTTCATTGGTGGCCTCAAGTACATCTATAAGTGTACCCCATTCTTGTGCTTTGTTTTGTCTGTGTTTGTTTTGATTCGCCTAATAAATTTGACGGAGTTTAATGAGGAATTTGTGGATTTTCCTACACGGTAAAAACATCATGTTCATGTAAAGTTATTTGCCAATGAATTTGCACTACTTTCCAAACATTGCAATTCGATGTGCAAATCCTTTGGAAGAGTTCAAATCGAAGCACGATGAAATCAACAGCAAATCACTTCATTTTAGATTGTATTGCACATCGTTGTTGATGTGCTGTGTTTTGAAATCTAAATGTCAACCATACTGATGTTAACATTCTATCACTTTAAGTTTAACTAATTTATTCTTGGATTTCATGTTTGCTGAAAATGGGTTTAAATAAATATATTGCCTTCTTCATACTGCAAGCCTTGTTATATGTTATTCAGAATATGGCCATATTACTACCCAGATCACATGTTTCCAAGTTTCAACAACATTGCCAGGCTTGTAGTAGAAGCAAGACGAGACATTGAGCAATTAATTTGATATGTTTGACAATGTTTTGTGATACACTAGAGATGAACCAGCCTAAGGCTGAAAGTCTCGTTAATAAAGGAAAAAAAAAAGTTTTGTGATAGAAGTTCTATTATACACTATTATTGAATACAGCATCAAATTCATAATACTCACGCTCTAGAATGCAAATTATTTCAGGTTGAAATGAAGAATTCTCGATAAACATTTCAAATGGTCCTATCTGCATTGATCGATTCTCTTCATCGACTTTCTATTTCGTCAATAACTCAGCTGCAAAACCTTTCCCTGTTGTATTTGACGTTTTGGATGCTGGATAAGAACCTTCTTTATCAAACTATGTGGTAGAATTAGCACGAAATCTGTTTGCATAGCAGTGGTTATGAAAAGAGAAAGTCGATGAAGAGAATCGATCAAAGCAGATAGGACCATTTGAAATGTTCATCGAGAATTATCGCTTCTCTCATTTGACTTCATTTGTTGTTGATTTGCCATCTTCGTGAGTAATGTTTGGCTTGTGCGTTTTTGACATTTGCTTCCAAAAGCAAAGCGATCAAAATTCAATGGATAAAAACAGTGGTGCCAATTCAAAGGATAATCATTTCGATTTACAGTATTGTCGTTCAAGTTGGACATCGGAAAATCCCACACGCGACATTCGATTTTACCCTCGTTCTGTACGTTAAACATAACGTCGGACATAGTGCGCTGAATAGCGCATCATTGTGTGAATGCAGCGCACTATGTCCGACGTTATGTTTAACGTACAGAACGAGAGTAAATTCAATTGGCGCGTGTGGGATTTTCCGGTTTTCTACTGAAACGATAATACATATTTTTCAACGACAAATCACTTTGTCTCTAAACGCAAATTACTTGAAAATCAATGATAAATCACTTCGATTCGAAGTGCCGAATGACAGACTAAGTCAAGTGCCAGAGCATTTGGATTAGATATGACAACTTTTTACCGTGTACGATTCGAAGGCTGCTTCATTTCAAGAGCCACATGTGAAAAGGGCATACTAGCTTTTTGCAAACAAACCCTGTAAGCCCTTTCCTCGCCAACCGAGGGTCGCCCACGCAAACCAACAACATCATCGAGAAGGAGAAAGTTTCCCCTTGGTTTGCGTTGGTGTCATATGGGTGGCTAGAAAATGGCATAAGAAGGTTTGTTTATAAACAGCTTGTATGCCCTTTTCACATGTTATTCTCGAATTAAGTTATGACCGAAGGACTAGTACTGCCTGAGCCAAAGGTTGAGCATGTTTCTTCGGGACCCCCTGGTCTTAGCATTAGTCTATACTTTAACACTCTTGTGTCATTCGTGACTTTGCCGGGGGAGGAGATTTGAACCCGTAACTTTGACGTGAGAGGCATGGGTGCTAACCGCTACGCCGGGACTCTGCCCTTTATATTTTTTGCCTTTCAGTTTATTTATTGTTTAGGAGGTGACTATGTGAAAAGTGTTTGCATTGCTCAATACTCTGCAGCTCACCGCAAGTCAGCCCCATTTGCTTTTTTGTCAAAACTGAGATTTTCAATGGAAATGGTAGCTCATCAACCATATGTTCATATGCTGAATGAACTCAACAACTTAGTTGTATGGCACAGACCTGTTGGTCCATATTTATAATTAAAGTCCTCTAAGTTAAAGTATGGACATCTGTCGAAAGTTGTTCCAATCGAACCGTTAAAATGCACTCCTTAATAAAAAAACATAAACAAACTATAACCCAAATGATCGAACTTTTCTATAAATGGTTTGGATGATACCCCAAACACGTCGTCAAGCAAAATAACCATAACAAATTTATTAGGGCTGTTCTGCTCGATTGGAACAACTTTTTTCAGTTTTGTGGTGACAGTCGTCCATACTAGAGTCGGTTTATAATGGGTCACGCCAAGAGTGAAGCCAAGTCTACCTATTGAACTGTCAAACCGGCTACCTATCGTGCAAAGTAAACAAGCATTACGATGCTATGAAAGGTCCACGAAAGGTATTGCAATTAAATATAAAATATAATCGAAGAAATGATCATATGCACGCAGTGAGCATTACATTTGTCATGCGATACGTTTTGTAATGATCAGTAATGACAATTTCTACTATTTTTCTTTAAGATAATTCGACAAAATCACTGATATAATGATTTACTACAGCCGTTAATGTTTTTCCTCGCTAGAAGTCATTTGAAGTTGATGCAGAAGTCCTCTGTTGCCAAGTTAAAATAAAGGGAATCTTTCAAAAACCGTGATGCGAGTTCAATTTTTCTCTAGGCGTGACTCATTATACACCGACTCTAGTCCATACCTTTACTAGAGTGCTTTAAGACTAATGCTAGTGAGAATATTCCTCATCCGACAAAATTTCAAAGAAACGCACAACACTAGCGATCTAGTGTTAAGGACAGTTTGCCTCGTAAAATCAGCCATGATAGCGGCCATTTTTGAATTCTATCAATCTTGGCCTTAAAGTAATCACAGCAACCATAGTCTTCTCGCCGTATAATCTTACGAACACAAAAGTCAGTTGCTGGTTGGAAATATTATCATTTTATAGAAAAGTTAGCATTGCAACTGACAACCACATGCTGCATGATAAACTGCTGTTGTAAAAATAATCGGCGGCAGGATGCTAATTTTTCTCTGAACTCACCATATGACTCATTTGATTTGCCATCGCAGCTGCTTGTTTTCAACCATGCTTTTAATTATTGTGTTAGTGACACGATATATACGAACACGCCAACACCATCGCATGCGGATGTGCCAAATGCTTTGTATGTTTTTATGAAGGAGCATTTAAACTGCGGTGTGCTTTCAACAAATTCAAATCTATTTTTTATCGGAGCATCATTTTAGATTGCATATAGCAGTCGCCATCGCTTTCCTTATGCCATTTTACATAAGATGAACGCGGTTTTTTTGCAATTTGATGGCCTGCCGAGGGGGGCGACTCAATCTGCGATGCAGGAAAGATTTGGTTTTGCTTTTGTTTTGATTTGCAAGTACCGTGGACCCCCGTTAATCTGAACGGCACTGCCTACATATTAACCGGGTTCATTTCAGGCATAACATTTGATAACGGCACAAAAGCATTTGTAGACAAACTTTCTAAGGCCCTTTACACGTGAACCAAAGTACGCCCACGGAAACCAATACCACTTTCGGAAAGGAGATAGTTGTCCCTATCCGATAATGTTGTTGGTTTGCGTGGGTGTACTTTGGTTCGCGTGTAAAGGGCCTTAGAAAGTTTGTTTACAAATGCTTTTGGGCCGTTATCAAATGTTATGCCTGAAATGGACCCCTAGTTTCATTGTTGTATGTTTTGTGAGACGTGATATTTGTGCTTTTGAAATTTGGATTATTGAAATTATTCATAAGTAAGGCTTCCTCAGCGACTCACCTTAAGCGAAAATTTTAAGCAACGCACAAAGTTCAATCGGGGCAGGCTAATAAAAAATATCGTTTCGAAGGACGGAGACGCCTGAGTGACGGACAAAGCTCGATTAGAGCAGTAAAATTAATAATCTTTATTCAAAGGAAGGAGTAGTCTATGCTATAGACAACATTTGATCAGGGCAGACAAATGAAAAATATAGCCTCAAAGTAGGGAGACGCCTAAATGACGGACAAAGGCCAATCAGGCAGATAGTTGAGATATCTTGACCCAATAGAGAAAGACGCCTACGCGATGGACAAAGTAGCGGTGCAGCAAGTTGAGAAATCTCGCCCGAATGGATGGAGACGCTTAAGCGACGAGTAAAGTTCGATCGGACCAGGCAAATACAAATTTCGCTCAAGGAGGGAAATGTCAAAACCACAAACATGGCCCGGTTGCGTTAGGCAGTTGATGAATCGCCTCAAAGGAGGGACTTTCTTAAGCTACGGATAATGTTCGATCTGTACAGGTAGTTGAGATATCTCGCCTAGAAGGAGGGAGACGACTAACCTACGCAGTTGAGAAATCTGGCCACAAAAAAAGGACATACAAGATCCGATAGGGGCAGGCAGTTGAGAAATCTGGCCTCAAAGGAAGGAGACTCCTAGCATCGGACAAAGGAGATAGAGACGCCTAAGCGACAGACAAGATCCTATCGGAATAGGCAAATGACGAGTCTTATCTAAAAGAAAGAGACGCCTAGGTGACGGACAAAGTTGAATCAGGGACGTATAAGTTACGGACAAGATCCGATAGGGGCAGGTAAATAACAGACTTCGCCTCAAAGGAGGGACCGAGGGAGAAAGACGCCCAAGGGACCTGCAAAGTTCAATGGGGGCCGGTAGTTGAAAAATTTCACCTAGAAGAAGAGAAGCGACTAAGTTAAGGACAATCTTTGATCGGAGCAGCCAGTTGGGAGGACGCTTAAGCGACGAGCAAAGTTCGATCGGGGCAGGCAGAGCAAAAATCTCGCCTATAATGAAGAAGCTGTCTAAGACAAAGACAAAGGCAAACAATGAATGTCATGTAAAAGAAGGGAGACGTCTATAATAGGTCTGATCCCGTACTTCCTTTTTTGCTTTTCCTGAAACTTGAAAAATCGTTTGCTGCAGAAAGTACGGGAGCACTTTTGCTTATTGCTTTACAGAATTTTATAGAAAAGCAAACATGGGACCAGACCAAATTTCAGATGCAAACATATCACTTATACCGTTAGATTGAACCAATGCCTAGTAATAGTGCTAATTGCTTTTGCAGCAGCTATACAGCGTTGTAGCTGAATAAACGTTGAATAAGCCTCATTTAAGCAGAATATGCATAGTTTTGGTTGTATAAGCAATAATTCAGCTTTCATGGTTTGTTGGAGTGTCCTTGGGAGGGCTACGAAGATGTCTATTTTAACTGAAATGTGTCAATTAAGCCAAACCGCTGATGTTGATATATCCATATTTCTGACGGATCTCATTATCACTTCGCACCTTAAAGCCCATAAACTGCTTGAAGTTCGTTTCCTGTGATCTGAGCTTTGTGCTCTGTAAAATTTTAAGTGATAGTGCAAGTCAGCCTTGACGACCATTATTGAACTCTAAAAAGATCTACCTCTACTCAATGAAGAAGATTTTCGAAGAAAATACGCCCCCTAGTGCTTCTATCATTTCAATTTCAAACAGCCAAAACTTCCCATCGCATGTCATCAAGTATGGCAACCGTCTTTTACTCGTTTTCTTCCCATCCACGACCGCTAAATTACAGGACTTGACCCCCTTTAGGTTCACACAGGAGACATAGTCTAACCTAATTCCTAGTTGATTGTATCTTTGTGGGTTTTGGTGTATGTGTGTGTGTGTGTGTGATTTGAACATTTATTTTGCAAGGTATTCCTATATTTAATATCTGTCACTCTCGAACACAACAAACACACGCACACATTTATGCACTACTGCTGCTGAACTGCTTCGGTCTCACGTCACGTCCGCTCACTTGTTGGCGAATCTGCCGTTTTCCAGTATCAAGTCTTTTGTCATATCTCACCCTCTGTTCCGGCTACCGGCTGTCGCTTCTTGAATGTATGCTTTCCCTATGTCATTTATCATAATCATCCACCTCCGCTTAGAACGGCAAACTGGCGAGAAACATGTTCTCGATCAGCGGCGGCGCCGGTACGAGATCCTCCAGCTTCAGGTAGAATATCCGCTGCAGCCCCTGGACGCTGAGCGATCGCAGCTCCGGCAGTTTCCCTAGCAGCCGGTTGAAGTAGTGCGGTTTCCGCTGGGCTTCCGAGTTGTAGGTTACATGATCCCGCAGGCTGCTGATGATCTTCATCTGCAGCAGTTCGACCTTCTTCGGTTCCCGAAGGCCGTAGCGTTCTGGAAAAGGTGTTCTATTGTTACTAAATTGCCCTGGATGGGGGGAAAAAGAAAATCAATCTTACCTGTCACCAGGGTCAGCGCACACAGGCACGCAAACGCAGAGATGTCGATCTCCATGGCGTGCAAGCTCTTGCTGAACTCGAGGATAGCGTTCAACCAGTCGCCGAACGAGCGCTGGCACTGATGCTTGTGCAGGACGACCCCGTTACAGAAGGTCATTTTGGTGTCATCGATCCGTGCCCGGTAGGACAACCGCAGGACGAACAGCTCCAGCGAAGCCGACTGGAACAGAAGCTCCTGATCGTCGGAGCTGAGATCACTGAAACCGGGCAGCTTGTCGGCGAACTGCTTGATCACATCGACGGACGTCGTCAGTAGGTTGTAGAATTGCTGAACCTTTTCTGCTTCGGAAATGATGGGCTCGTTTTGTCCAGGCTCTCGGTACTGGCTGTAGTCGAGGCTGGCGAGATCGGGAGTTGTGTCGACGTGGGCGCGTACCAGAGCGGTAATCATCGATACCGGTGGCGATGGTGGCGATTCTTGCGGCGATTTCGGCTTGGATGGTAACCGCCCTCGTCGACCTTTTAGCGAATCGGTACGAACCACTTCCTTGACCATACCGACGGTGAGACATTTTTGGAATCGGCAGAACTGACATCGGTTCCGTCGCCGTTTGTCCACGGGGCAAGCTTTGTCCGCTAGGCAGACGTACTTGGACCCTTTTTGTACTGTCCGTTTGAAGAATCCTTTGCAGCCTTCACACGTTCGAACACCGTAGTGCTGGCAAGCGGCGGTATCTCCACATACGGCACACAGTTGCGAGGGGCTTTGGGGAGTAGGTCCACGAGGAACCGGGGTGGCACTTCCAGCGACCGCTGCGGCAGCTGCCGCGGCAGCAGCAGCAGCGGCCACCTCATTGTTGTTCACCGTATTGGGATTGTTGTTGTTGATGTAGCCCGGTGAGCTAGACGCTGAACTGGAGGCGCTTGGAAGAGCGGAATACTTGTAGATGCCAATCCGTGGAGGCTTGGGACTTTCGCTGCTGGAGGTAGATTCCGAGCGTTGTAGCGGTAGTGAAGCCCGACGGTAACAGGTGGTGGACACATGCAGTTCGGCAATGGTTGGGAATGGCGGAAGGGAGTAGGAATCTTGCGGCGTTACGGCACCGTAGTTCTGTGAGAAGGAGATATTTGATGAAGCGTTGGTTAGGGACGTGTTTCTGGACTGACTTACCGCCGCATGTTGTTCGTAAGCCGGGGTAGGGTAAAAGCCACCGCCGGGCGCTGGATTGCTATATTGGGTAGCCGGAGCTGTAGTGTGCTGAGGGAATTCGTAGTGGCTCTGGTGGACGGTGGCATGATGGCCGTAGCTATGGTGTCCATACGCTACGCTTTGGTGGTGAGGGGAAGCGGCTATCTTGAAGCAGTCTTCGTCCATTTTTAAACCGAAATTGGCTAGCTGATTGTACTTGATGGGATAGGTTTCCTGGAAGCTCGGTAGCAGCGAACTGGCACTACTACCACTGGAGACTTCGGTGGAGGAGATCTGTCTCGGACCGGGTCGCTGCGGTTGTTGGTGAATCAACTGGGGATGAGGTGGTTGAGGTTGTTGACGTGCACTGCTCGCGAGAACTGGGTCGCTACTGGAACGGAGTGTCAACAGACCAAGTTCTTCGGTCGAGGAAGTCTCGAGGAGCAGATCCTGCTCCGGTTCGGTGGTTTGTGCACGCGATGGACCCGCACTGAATGGGTCTTGCAGTTCGGTTAGGTTCTCCTCCTTGTAGGTGGCCTTGAGAATGGCCGTTGGGATACTATCGTTGGAACCACCGAAGCTGGAGGGGTTTTCTTCGAGCCCTACAAGAGTATCGCTGGAACTGTTGGAATGTTGCGTCTGGTCCAGGTAGGATTCGGATGAAATGGGTTCCTCTGCTGTTGATTGCTGTGATTGGGAGCCACCGAAGAGCTCTACGAACTTGTCCAGTTGATGATGGCTCGCGGTGGGCAGAATCCCGGCGGTTAGCGGGTGATGTTCCTGGTGTTGTTGCTGCTGTTGTGGCTGCTGATGCGATGGGCCGAATGCACCCAACTGATGGTACGGTTGTTCGGGATGGTTTTGTTGCTGCGATAGCAAATAATCAAACGAAGAAACGGAACTAAAAGAGCTGGCCTGCGGAGAGGGAGAGAAAAGGCAAAAGAGAGAAGGTGGAATTAATTAAATTGGCACCGAAATTGAAGGGGCGTGGTTTGATGAGTGTGCGCGCATCGCATCATTCGCCAATGTTTATCACTGGGGAAAGAAAAACTAGAGCAATGTGAAGTGTAGGTAGTGTAATCGACGAGCGGCTGTGAGCTCGCGTACTTTGGCCAAGCGCCAGACCCTCGGTTGTCTCGGTTCGGAATTGAACCGAGGGGGAGGGAGAGAGTGGCAATTTTCGCTACGACAAGCGACGTCGTTGGTCGTCGTTCTGTTGAATGGAGTGATGGCGTTCGGGTTGTTGGCTGTTTTCCACGTGACCGATAGAGCATCGGAAAACGCCGTTCCGTTGGGGTGCGCGCGGTAATATCAAAAGTCAGATTTCGATTGGGCGGAATGAGTGTGTGTGTGTGTGTGTGTGTCTGGTGGACGGACGGAAGGAAATGCACTGATGAGCAGCGCAGGTGGGTGGGGAAGCTGTCGGTGTGCATGGTGGTGTGAATAATTTATTGGCGAGCCGTGGTGAAATTTTTTGCGATACAGTCATTTCTATTTGAGGAGTAGTTTATTAAAGTGTATTCGATTTGGAGATGGAGGATCGATTTTCACCATTTTTTAAGCATTTTGAGGCTTCTAGAAAAGTTTCGAATTTTCCATAAAACTTTGGAATCCGTATTTTTATTAAATACAATAAAGGCACGAACAGAATCCGACATGCATGCATACAACTTCAATTCAATATCATCAGCAAACTGCTCATAAATATGTCATCAATGCAATTGAAGCTCCCATAAACAAACGAAACCAAATGTAACCATTTCGAATCGGTCGGTAATGCATTCAATTTCCCACTGGTTATTATTCAAATTTAATAACACCACACACCGTATATGAAGGTAGAATGGCACAAAAAAAACCTAGTCGCACCCCAGGAGTCATACACAAAACAATCAACTTCGACGATCTTCATGAGCCCATACTCGACTATGAACCCATAACACAGCAAACAACGATGACGATCCGGTTCGCTACGTTATCTTCGCTATCGATCTGCCTACAGGCTTCGGTCTTCTTCCCCCTTTAACGTCCTTCTTCTCAGCAGCACTTCATTTCACCTGCGAGTGCTTGCTCTCTCCCTCTATGTGTCGTCTATCTGTGTCGGAAGATGATACCCCCTAAAAGCCATCCGAGCACCCGAGAGACTTCAAACAAACCCAGCAGGGGTCCCTTCCCGATGATGCGGTCCATATGTGCGCTGTTCAAGTCCTTCTGATTTGGTGGTGCTGCCTCCCTGCTGAAATTCAACAGTTCATGCCGGGTTTTACTGTCGCTTTCGATCCTAATAATAGCCGGTTTCCGGCTGTGCGCTCAAAGTCGAAGATTTATGCACTGCTCTAACAGCAGAAAAAAAAATACGCCACTCCGGCTGACTACAGACAACAACAACAAAAAACGACTCTCTTCATCAACAAAATCTCGTAGAGGGCTAGCGAGAGACGGCTTTATGAAATTCCAAACATTAATTAACTAATTATGCTTCGCGTCGATTCGCGAAGCTGTTGCCCGGTCAGATCAGCTCTTACGCAGAAGATGAACCAGCACCGTGCAGCAATTTGGGTCTACGACCTGGCAGGTCATAAGGAGGAACCTGAACACTTGATGCGGCCCGGTCGAGCCGGAGGTTTGCTCCAGTTGGAGAATATTCATCGTTTCCTGTGTCCGCAATTTCACTTGTCGGACCAGCAACAAGAGGCAGCAGTCCGCCCACCCAAAACGGTCAGAGGGTGTTTTGAAATTTCGTCGAATGAAGCAGCTCAGTCGGTGAAGTGAACGTTGCGTTACAAACTCAACGAGATGGGTAATCACGCGTACATGCACTTAATCACGATCTCGTTTGGTTTCGTTCATTTCAAAACGAGTCGCTTAGGTGGATCAAAAGTCAACATTAGCTGCGGGTTGGTAACTTAAGTCCAGTCATTTGGCTTTGATAGGAGGGTCATTAGGGAATTAATCTGCTGCGGTGCGTTTACAATGACGCAAGGTGGAGATTTTCGTTTTATGCAACCTTGATAATGTTCGAAACAATAATTACTATGACCTTTCCGGTATGCGAAGAATAGATAAAAGCCGGAGCTTGCTACGGACCGGGTGAAGCGGAGAATAGCTTCTTGTCAGTCTAATCAGCGCTCAGAGGAGTTCCTAGGCTGGATTCGCTGAATTTTCACTTAAATTTGACACTTCGAAAATAAATTATAATGATCGAAAATCCCTCTGTTTTCGATCGTCCGATTTTCGAGAATATGTTTGTCAAAATTGATTCCTGAACTGTCAGAAATAAGTCTGATACATTAGCAGGTTTATTTGAAAATTTTCCATCTCTCAAATTTAAGTGAAAATCCACTGCAAAGAACGAAAAGCTGGGCAACATTTGAAAAAAAAACGTTGTTTGAGGTTTTCTATGGTGTTTTATTTTTGGTTGCATACTTAAATATATGCTGCTCAATTTGACAATGGTTGAAATATTTTAAATTTAATGATGTTTAAACATTTTGGGAAATGTTTAAACATTGACATAATTTAGAGCTTCATTTTTTTCAAAAACTAACTATTTAGTAACAGCTCTAACCAGACGTAAACAAAATGATCAATGGACAATATTTTCCAGGAAATGAGTTGTTGAATTCAATGCCAACTAGTTGATGAATAATGGTCTAGATATTTGAATGTTTAAGCTTATTTTAAAGAAGTTTGATAAAATTAGATTTTAAAGTATTTTTGTACTTTCGATCATATAATTACGATTGAAACTTCAAGTTGGCATGAACACATTAGCGGTGAGAACTCATCCGAACTCGTCCGGGTTGGCGTTTGGGAGCCTTTCAAAAACCGTGTGTTATACATCTTTTTAGAACAAATTTGTCAAATTCTTTATTGTTTATTGTTTTTAATGGTTCATCTGACATATGGTAGTCTTAATGGATCAAAAATGTATTATTTAAAAAAAACAGGTAACGGTCTAATTCAGGACAGTCCTCTGATAAAAACAGTTAAAGCACGAACAATGCATAAACGTCATTAAACACATTAGTGACGGCACGGATAGGTACATTCAACTCCTATTAGGTTCTGCAGCGTGACGTCACGAATGAACTCAGTGTTAATCGGTTGTACCTTTTTGACAGTTCAGTGGTACTGTTTACAAGCACTTAGTCGTTTTTTCGAAAAAAAAAATCTAAAATTTCCGAATTTTAACTTACAAATTGTCGAGGAACAGCACGGTGAAAGGATGTTGCTCGTGGACAATGCAGACATGTGGTTTATATCTCACTGTCACAGTCTAAAAAATTATCGAGAAAATCTACCCAAGAAAAAATCAAATAAGTCCACGTAAACAGTACCACTGAACTGTCATCAGATTGAGGTTAACCCCGACGGTGCCAAACCTAATAGACGAGTGCACGGATGGATTTGAGTTCACTCACTCGAAAAAAAAGTGACACAACAGCGGAGCCCTATTTACTAAAAATGAACACATGAATAATACTCGCGTAACATTTGAAACGGCCCTATCAACTTTTGTACACAAAACTTGTTAAGCCGTTTTCGCGCGAACCGAATACGCCCATGTAAATTAAAAACACCATCGGCTAGGGGAAATTTTCCCCTTCCCGATAGTGCTCTTGGTTTGCGTGGACGTACTTCGGTCCTCGTGAAAAGGGCCTAGCAAATTATTTACAAACGTTGATGGGTCCTTTTCAAATGTTACGTGAGCATTATTCATTTGTTCATTTTTAGTAGCTGTTGTATCAATTTTTTTTCAGTAGTTGAACAAAAGTTCACCCGTGCATTCGTCTATTGCCGATTACGAACTGCAAGATATACAAAATTACGCTGTCTATTTAATCACTCTCTCAGATGCGTCAGGAGAATAGCTGTCGAAGTAATTTGGGGGGATCAAACTCGCTGGTAATGATCTTAGCAGCAAACACAGCATGCGCGTTCCGTCTTCTTAGTTCCAAGGTGTCACTTCCAAGCAGGCGACAGTGATCCACGTAAGACGGCAAGTTAACCGTGTCACGCCAGGGCAAATGACGAAGCGCTTAACAAACAAACTTTCTCTGTACTCTCTCAACCACCAGACACCAGACGACAGCACTATACTCCAAGATTGAACGTAGTAACGATCAACACAGCGCCCGCAGGCATAGAGGACCGCGAAAGTCTTCAGATGTTTTGAACATGAAGCCAAGCTGCCTGTTAGCTTGAGGATGTCATTGTAGTATGGTTTGAAGGTCAATTCACAGTCGAGTGTTACTCTCAAATATTTGAATAATCAAATACTAATACTATGCTTGCGGTGAAATGATATCACATTGCGCTTGTTGATGCTGAGCTTCAAGAAGTTACAGGAGCACCAACTCTGCATACGATCCACAATCAGCTGCAACTCCTCACAATCAGAGATGCAATTGATGACTATGTTACGATGATACGATGTCAAAATGTATCGTAAGCGTAGAATAGCTGGCATCCAGGTGGCAGTAGACACGAAAGCTCGTTGACGAAAAGCTAAAACAGAAGGGGTCCCAGATTACTTTCTTCGGAAACGCCGTAAACGTTCGTGAACCCTTCAGAACGATCAGCTGCAACCTTAACGCAAAGCGAACGGTTCGTAAGGTTAAATTTGAACCACGAGATGAAGGATCCAAACACTCCGAGTTTCTCAAGCTTGCTCAAAAGAATGTTAAGGGCTATTCGGTCAAATGCAGCCTTGAGAAGTGTTACCAGCGTGGATTTATGTAACTAATCGTAGAATCCATGCTGAGCCGTGGAGATGTAGTTTTTACAAGAGCTGAAGAGCGCCTCATTGACGATAATCTCGAAAACGAACATATATGTACGAAAATTTCTACGCCTCAGGAAACTTACTCTCCTGTATTGACAGATTAAATAGCTTCACCAAGGGAGTGAGC